TACTCCGAAACATTGCATCTGAACCTCAGAGTGCTTCAGGATAAAAGTGTTGGGACTCAGCCTGTGATTGAACCTGAGCCTGTGCTTGAACCTCTGAATGTGTTTCCGTCTCCTGATGTTTCTGTGTCTCATGTGGAATATGAGGAGGGAAATCAGTTCCCTGTTGCTTCTGATGTGGGCGATGCTGGGACTGACTCTGAGGTGCAAGGTGGAGACACTTTGGTCAATGAGTTTCATGCAGACACTGACAGAGAGGTTTCGGCGCAAAAGGCAGATTCTCATGAGAATGTTTCTGTCAGGCCTTGGGATAAAGGTTTACTCCCTCTGTCTGTGAGCTCTCCAGATTCTAGTTTGGAAAACAGTCTGACACCTGGTAAAGTTAATGAGGAGTCAGATAAGCAGAGTTGGCGGCTGGAGAATCAACAAGAAGCCCAATGTTTACATAGATCTGAAAGAATTCGTCAATTAAAGTCAAAGACTGGGGGGAAACAAAACCAGTTTTTGGGATTTAAGATTTGCCTATAAGAAATCTTGTCAGATCAGGCATCGTTTGGAAACCAAGTTCTTGTGACATGGAAGTCTTGTTCAAGAGATCTTGTTTCTGTTGAGTTTTTTTAGCTTTTTGGATTGTCTTTGCTTCCTGATTGATTCCTGTCTGGATTGATGCTGCTTTGGATTGCCTGTATTTCTTGCTTTGGGTTTCTACTGTTTATAGACTAATACTTTTTGAAACCTTCTGATTTTCTTACAAACATTTATTTCGACTGGCTATTTACTAAGCTTTAATAAAAGAAGATTTGATTCTTCACTCTTCGTGTGGTGTCTTTTAAGTCAGAGGGCTTCTTCTGGACTTGGAGTGCAACAAAAAGTGCCAATTCTGCAGATTTTGCAAAACCATTTTCTTTCCCAAAGACGTGAAAGGTGTCGCCATTCTTTTTACCACAACCATGACTAAATTTGGTGAGAAAATATCCAACTGCCTTGCAGCACTGTTTCTAATCTCTCGGTCACTAATTTGCCATTGCTGTTGTAAACCTAGGAGAACTCTGCAAACATCTGTGGAGCAGAATCTGGGCAGCACAACACTGCCAATGAAAAAATTCAGTTTGAAATAAAGCATATTTATAGTACAATTACTGGGTGAGTAAGGCTGTAAAGCATGCAAGTGGTTGCATTTTAAAGCAATCCGAAGAGATTAATGATGTATTGGGGCCCTTTTATTCTCAACCGACGTGAGCTGTTCTTCTTTTTCCTCCTTTCTTTTCCTTTCATTACAGAGAGGGCTGCTTTTCAGCACCGCGGCCTTCTGTTTCTAATCTTTCTGCTACACATTACTTCTGATTCAAACATTACAATTATTTTTTCAATATGTTCAGAAACAAACAAATTATGGACACATGGATGAGAAAGCAAAATAAAAGCACACTTCAATGAAACAAAGGCCACAAAAACGGGGAACGCGGTTATACAAAAATCACGTCTTGAATTGATTATTGTGTTTCAAGATGGAATCAAAGGTAACCAAATCAACGCAATTGGTTTCACTTTCTTTTTTCCTTCTCTTAACTGCACACAGTTCATTAGTTTTACTATATTTTCTCATTTCTCAGTGGGGGGAATTACTGAGGAATGCCATTTGGGAGCGATCAAAATTTCTGCTGCAGCGAGGAGACTTTCTATTTGAGATTGGTGCAGCTTTGAAAAAGAATGATGGATGGGACCCAGCAAGATCTGTTTGGGGATTGCAAAAGATTTTGCAGCCAGTCACTGCGTTGCGTAACGGTTTCCTTCCAACATTGTCCCAAACAGTGTATCTGGGTGCCATTCCAGCACACATGCAAAGATTCTGCATTCCCGCACAACATCACAATTTCTCTTGGCTGTTTTAATAACTGGGCTTTCTTTTTAAATTCTGCAGATTAAGGCACGGCGCTTCATTGTGTTCTCTTTAAGGTTAAGGTGGGCCGGACTTAGCACAGCGGGTTAAATTGCCAGCTGCAGAAAAATCTTGCTGCAGAAATGCCAGCAGTTCAAACCTGGGTTGGGGTACGCTCCCGCCATCAGCTCAACTTCTACTGACCTAGCAGTTCAAAAACAGTAATGTGAGTACATAAATAGATCCCACTTTGGTGGGGAGGTAATAAAAGACACCCATTTGGATGTCTTTAGAGAGTGTCTAAACACAGCAAAGCTCTTCGGCATGGAAGATGGAGCAACAGCACCACCCTATGGCCAGCGTCAAGCACAGCCTCCAGATGCCAGAGATGGAAAAAGATGGGAAGCTTTTACTTCTGTTTATGTACTGTCTGTCTTTACTAATAGTATAATGGAACTGACTGTTTTGCCATATATGTGTATTTAATCCGCCCTGAGTCCACTCAGGGATAAATATAGGATAAGTATATTATATTATTATTGTTATTATTAAGTCAGAATAATTTTTATAGCACACATATTAGCTGAAATAAAGTCCCTTAACTAAAAAGGATACTGGAAATCATAAACTACTCTGAGTATTTATTTGAGGTCCTGCTTGTTTCCAAGTAAGTTCATTTCAGATAAAAAGTCTCCTAGGCAATCTAAAGCTTCTACCCTTCTTTGTTCTATGCAACCTTTTGAAGGGAGAACACACACCTGTGTGTCTTACACTGTATTTTCATCATGGGACCAGTATGGCAATGGCTTTGCACACATTGGTGCCAAGCTGGCCAGCCCACGTCAACCTCCAAATGGGAGAATCTGCCCAAATGTAAATACCAGTCCTCCCAGAGCACTACTTCTGGAAAAAATAGCTATTCCATTAAAATCCATTTTAAATTTGGTTTAAATTTGAGAAGATCAACAGGGACCGCTTTGGCGGGAAAAGGCAAAAAGACGCTCCAAGCAGTCATGCCAGCCACATGATCAGGAGGTGTCTATGGACAACGCAGGCTCCTCAGCTTGGAAATAGAGAAGAGCACCTCCCCCAGACCAAGAGATGAGCACTGCCTCCAGAGCCGGAAATGAAAGGAGAAGCCTTTGCCTGTGTTTGTGTGTCTCTTTGTATGTGATTGTAAATAGGACATTGAATGTTTGCCTTTGTCTGGTTTACATATACTGTAATCTACTCTGAGTCCCTTCAGTAAGAAGGGAAGAATATAAATAAAATATTCTTATTCTTATTCTTATTATTGAGGTCTAACCACAGCTTCTCACTTGGAAAGTTCCATGTGATAATTTTCCATGTTATCTTATTGCAGACCATGTACATGGAGAAGATCACTTCCCCTAGAGGCAGAGATGAGCATCGCCTTCAGAGCCGGAAATGAAAAGAGAAGCCTTTGCCTTTGTCTGTGTTATTTGTGTCTCATTGTATGTCACTGTAACAAGACATTGTTTGCCTGTGTCTGTTTATATGCTGTAATCCACTCTGAGTCTCTTCGGTGAGAAGGGCAGAATATAAATAAAATGTATTATTATTATTATTATTATTATTTTACTGACACAAAAGCACAGTATGTCACAGCAAACTAGATCTATATGCTGTATTTCGTATTATTATTATTATTATTATTATTATTATTATTATGAGATCTAACCATAGCTTTTCACTTGGAAGGTTCCATGTGGTAATTTTCCACTTTATCTTATTGCAGATCATGTACATCAGTGGTTCTCAACCTGGGGTCCCCAGATGTTTTTGGCCTTCAACTCCCAGAAATCCTAACACCTGGTAAACTGGCTGGGATTTCTGGGAGTTGTAGGCCAAAAACATCTGGGGACCCCAGGTTGAGAACCACTGATGTACATGGAGAAGAACAAAGTGAGAACACATATTCCCCTAAGGAAGAGATTAAGCCCATGCTACTGGATAATGTTTTTAACAAGATGACACCGATGATTATATGCTTTAACAGTTTTTATTTGTTTTATATTGTAATGTTGATTGTATTGTCGAACACAATGGCTGGAATCACTAGGTTCTTGTGGGTTTTTTCGGGCTATAGGGCCATGTTCTAGAGGCATTTCTCCTGACGTTTCGCCTGCATCTATGGCAAGCATCCTCAGAGGTAGTGAGGTCTGTTGGAATTAGGACAATGGGTTTATATATCTGTGGAATGGCTAGGGTGGGGCAAAGAGCTCTTCTCTGCTGGAGCTAGGTGTGAATGTTTCAACTGACCACCTTCATTAGCATTTGAAGGCCTGGCTGAGCCTGGGAAAAAATTTGGCTACCAGTATTAAAAAACTCTAAAATTACAACAGCAAAACAGCAGAGAGGAAACAACCAGGCACATCTTAACACCTCTCAACAAAAGATTTTCCCAGGCTCAGCCAGGCCTTCAAATGCTAATGAAGGTGGTCAGTTGAAACATTCACACCTAGCTCCAGCAGAGAAGAGCTCTTTGCCCCCCCCCAGCCATTCCACAGATATATAAACCCATTGTCCTAATTCCAACAGACCTCACTACCTCTGAGGATGCTTGCCATAGATGCAGGCGAAACGTCAGGAGAAATGCCTCTAGAACATGGCCTATAGCCCGAAAAAACCCACAAGAACCTAGTGACTCCGGCCATGAAATGCCTTCGACAAACCCACAAGAACCTAAGGCATTGAATGCTTGCCTGTGTCTGTTTATATGTGTTCCCTTGGGGAGAAGGGTGGAAGAGAAATAAAGCTCTGGATCTTGACTGGGACACTGTTCTTTTATTTGTAGCTTTCCATGGTTTTCTGGGGTTCTTCTGTTCCTAACCTCAACAAATGTGAAAAGCTGACTGTATACAGGTATCAAATTTTTGATACAGAAAAATAACAGTGGCTGATGAAACACTCCTGATCTCAAACCCTTTGCTCCCTTCATTTCCTGTTTGCCTGAATTATTGCAACTGGATTTCTGCTTTCTTCCCAGATCCTGTTGGCTTGGTTCCCGGTTCCTTCAAAGGATTCCCCGTTCCTTCCCAGATGCACCTCCAATTAGTATTTGTTAGAATCCAAACACTGATGGGCCTTTCGTTTTACTCACCAGGATCTCATCCTGCAAAAAGAGGGCCATAGCAACAACAGCAGCAGCAGAGGAGACAGGAGCAAAGAAAGGAGAGATCATTACTCAAAAAAGCGGGCGCAGGAGGAAGGAAGTAGGCTCCAAAAACAAAAGAAGAAGAAGAAGAAAATAGAGATATATAGGTAATAACAAAAAACAAACTTATCACCAAATTCGTTTGCTAAAATTAATACTTCAGCTGCAAAAGACATCATAAAGACCACATCACAAAACAAAATTGGCTTCGGATGAAAGGGCAAATAAGAAGGGAGAAGAAACAAGCACAAGGGAGATCACAAGCAAACCCAAAAGTGAACCATGAACATATTGAACAGATCGGCACTGTCCCTATCCTGGGCCATCTTCAGTGAGCCGTTTCCGCCACGTCCTTCACACAGAGCCAAGTGTCATAATGGAGAGTCGGCCACTGGTAGATTAATCAGCCTAGAAGCACACTTTTTTGTTGGAAATCGCAACCTTATTCAAGCCTCCACTAGTTATTTGTTATGTGTATCATTCACATTGCTTACTGTATTGTATATGTGTGTATTGGTATGCAATTTTACCTTGACTCTTTGTTGTGGGAGGGGCTACAGACCATGTGATCAAGTCTGGGCCTGTCCAGGACTCAGACTCCGTTTCTGAAATGGTATGCTTAGGGACTTCAGCAGAAACAGATGTATGCTTTTAGAAGCCAGTTGAAACAGACTACAGAGACTCTATTAGACTCTCGCAGAAATGCTTTAGATTATGGACTGTTGACTATAAGAAAAATGCCCTGTATTATATACACAGAGAAACTACTTCAAATCCTATCTGTAACTGGATTGATATGCAAAGTGCCTTTATGCTAAGTACATGAAGTTTGTGAGTAAACCAACTATGTTACTTTTAAAGAAATCTCTTGAGAGCATGATTTAAACCAAGATGTTTTAAGGGAGAGTAGATGTTTTTTGGGCAACTGAAAACAACACTTCTGAAACTCTGGTATATGTGTGTGTTTCTTGAGCATTGGCATATCTTTGTCCCTAACAGTTCAAAGAGATAATGAGGGATATCAGTCTAACAACTAGGAGCCCCCAGTGGCGCAGTGGGTTAAACCCTTGTGTTGCCAGGACTGAAGACCAACAGGTTCAAATCCGGGGAGTGCGCGGATGAGCTCCCTCTATCAGCTCTGGCTCCCCATGCGGGGACATGAGAGAAGCCTCCCACAAGGAGGGTAAAACATCAAAACATCCTGGCATCCCCTGGGCAACATCCTTGCAGATGACCAATTCTCTCACACTAGAAGCGACTTGCAGCTTGTCAAATCGCTCCTGACATGAAAAAAGTCTTAACAACTGAGAAACCTAAGTGCCTTGCGTGAATACTAGTGGATATTTACAACTAAAGAGAAGGTTGACTCTTCTTTTTTTAACTCTTCTCAGGGAGATTCCATTTCTCAACAGGTTATGGTGAACGCCATTTTCCAAAAAGTTATGGAGATTTCCATTTCCCAAAAGGTTATGATTTCTAACAAGGTCTTTCTTTTGCAAAGATCATAATTTTCCAAAAGATAATCCAGTGACATTGGCTCCAGTTAGAGAACCATTTCACCACTTACAAAACTAGAAGTGCGAGACATCTTCCGCTGGTCCGATTACTGTGACGTAAGTTTGAAAATGAAGCATAAATACGCTCTGTTGGGTTATTTCCTGCCTTATGACTGCACTGGGCCCTTGGGAAGTGTTCTGCCCAGAAATGTGATTGATCAGCTCTGCACAAACTTTCTAGAGACTTTAAAGCACTACAGGTTTCCTCCTTAGGACAAAGCACACCTCATGCTAATCATGTGATCGCTTGCAAACCCATTCGTTTTTTAGATTGGGGTGAAAAGGTGACCCTTCAGAATTAAATGGATTGCAGTTCTCAGCATCCTTCAGTACTTATTGTGCTCACTAGGAACTGAACGCTTCAGTCAGTCAAGGGATCATCAGCATACCCATGTTATGGGACCTGAAGTCCAAAACACCTGGAAGGAGGGCTGAAGTTGGCCCATGCCTTTGTACTCTTGGAACTGGACACTTCAGTCAGTCAAGGGGTCATCTGTATACTCATGTTATGGGAGCTGAAGTCCAAAACACCTAGAGTGAGGGCTGAAGTTGGCCCATGCCTTTGTACTCTTGGAACTGGATACTTTAGTCAGTCAAGGGATCATCTGCATACTCATGTTATGGGAGCTGAAGTCCAAAACACTTGGAGGGAGGGCTGAAGTTGGCCCATGCCTTTGTACTCCTGGAACTGGACACTTCAGTCAGTCAAGGGATCATCTGCATACCCATGTTATGGGAACTGAAGCCCAAAACACCTGGAGAGCCAAAGTTTGCACATGCCCAGGCTTGAGCTCATTCATTTCGATAATGACTTAACTGTCTGTTACAGCCTTAACAAGGATTAATTTGATGGATTCTTTCATTCTGCAGAATTGAATACTTTATATCAATAAGGTGGTCTTTATTTTTCTTGTATTGTCACCATTTTGTTGGCAACTCCTCCATCCGCAGTCTGCCCATATGACAGCTTAAAAACATGGCGCAAATGCTTACCTGATTCCCAGCGGTCTTCTTCTTGCTCATCTGGCTGCTCCTCTGCTGAGCACTATAGGAAAACAACAACCACATTTGGAACGCCTTCTGTTTTGATTTTCTTTGGAACTGATAACGCAACGGCTGCCTCCCTCCTTCCTTCCCTCTCAATGGCAAGTGGAACAGTTAAATCTCATTGACTGATGCACAAAAGTACAACCAGAATGTGGCCACTGAAACCCCCTTCTGATAGAAACTTACTTGGCAAAGCCAATGAAATCTTCATGGTTTGTGTTCATGTAGGCCAATTCGATATCGATCAGGAGCATGACCTGCGGGAGAAAAGAGGTCAAAAGGCTGAAACAGGATGGAAATGGTTTGACAGAGTTTGCAGACCTAACACCAAATTGTCCCCAAATTGCCAATAAGACATTGTGTTGTCCTCTCAAAGCTGGAGAAGGGAGAAAGGATAGTGGAAGTAAAAGGAAAGAAGGGAGAAAGAGAAAAGGAAACGAAAGGAAAGAAGAAGGAAGAAAGGCACCACAAAGAGAGCCGTGTTGCCAAGAAGATATTGTGTGGCACTCTTAGAGCTGGAGAAAGGAGAAGAAATAATGGAAATGGATGGATGGATGGATGGATGGATGGATGGATGGATGGAAGGAAGGAATGAAGGAAGGAAGGAAGGAAGGAATGAAGGAGAAAGAAAGGAAGGCACCACAAGGACAGCCATGTTGCCAAGAAGACATTATGTGGAACTCTTAGAGCTGGAGAAAGGAGAATAATGGAAGTTGAAGGAAGGAAGGAAGGAAGGAAGGAAGGGGAAAGAAAGGAAAGACTATGGAAGGGAGGGAGGGAGGAGAAAGAAAGAAAGGCGCAAAAAGGAGAGCCATGTTGCCAAGAAGACATTGTGTGGCCCTCTTAGAGCTGGAGAAAGGAGAAGGGATCGTGGAAGTAAAATTAAAGAAGGAAGGGAGAAAGAGAAAATAAAGGGAAAGAAAGGAAAGACAAAGGAAGGAAGGAGAAAGAAAGAGAGAGAGAGAGAGAGAGAGACGCAACAGGGAGAGCCACGTTGCCAAGAAGACATTGTGTGGCCCTCTTAGAGCTGAAGAAAGGAGAAGGGGTAGTGGAAGTAAAAGGAAAGAAGGAAGAGAGAAAGAGAAAATAAAAGGAAAGAAAGGAAAGACGGAGGGAGGGAGGGAGGAGAGAGAGAAGAAAGAAAGAAAGAAAGAAAGAAAGAAAGAAAGAAAGAAAGAAAGAAAGACAGACAGACAGACAGACAGACATGGAAAGCAATGTTGCTAAGAAGACATTGTGTAGCCCTCTTAGAACTGGAGAAAGGAGAAGGGGTAGTGGAAGTAGAAGGAAGGGAAAAAGAGAAAATAAAGAGAAAGGAAAGGAAAGGAAAGAAAGAGGAAGAAAGGAGGGAGGGAGGGAGGGAGGGAGGGAGGGAAGGCAGGAAGAAGGAAGGGAAGGAAGGAAAGGAGAGAAGGAAGGAAAGGAGGAGGGAAGAAAGAGGAGGAAAGAAGGAAGGAAGAGAAGGAAGGGAGAAGGAAGGAAAAAGGAAAGGAAGGAAGGAGGAAGGAAGGAAGGAAGGAAGGAAGGAAGGAAGGAAGGAAGGAAGGAAGGAAGGGAAAAAGAGAAAAAGAAGGGAAAGAAAGGAAAAGAGAAGGAAAAGGGAGGGAAGGGAGAAAGGAAGGAAGGAGAAGGGAGGGGTGGAAGGGAAAAGAGAAGGAAGAAGGTGCACAGACATTTTGTTATCACTTTAATGGCCATGGTCCATGAAATCCTGAGATTTGTAGTTTCTAGAGGTGCTTCGGCTTCTCTGAAATTGCAAATTCCAGGGTGACAGCAGTGAAATCTCCTTGCTCCAAAATGTTGCCGTGTGAAAGAGACCCGAGATAGATCCCAGCCTGGCTCCCACCACCTCCAACCCATGTGGTCAAGGGCAAGGCATTTCGGAAGTTGTAAGTGGCAAAACCCCAATCCTACAGTGAATGGCCAGGTCAGAGTCTTGGAGCGAGAGAAGCCCACCTATGTGAGTTGGCAGAGACCCCGAGAAAAAAAAATGGCCTGTCCATACATACCTGGTCCTTGGTCTTGCCCTCGCGATCACGGATGTGGGTCGTCACAATCCGCTCCATCTCTTCTCGCAGGTGAGGATACTGGCTGAGCTGCAGAGGATGAGAAGCCGGGAGAGACGTGTGCATAGGGGGGACATGGTGCACGGATTGGGGTGGAAGGTGGCAAGGGGGAAAACGCCACGCCTCCACACATGCTTCACCAGAAACGTGGTGGTCAAGGAGGAACAAGAGCAGAAAAGCCCAAGAGAGATTTTCCAATTTCCAATCACGACATCAGGTTCCTCAATGTACTTCCCCAACTCATATCCATCCAATGTATATGAGTCTGAAACATCTGGGACCTCTATTGTTTTCACAATTTCTTTGGTGGTGTTTTAAAATATTATGCATGCCTGTGTTTTTCTCCTTCTTTTTAACTGCAATGAGCAACTGGTTGGATTAGATGAGCTCTAATGTCCCAACTCTAAAATCTGAGAATCTAGAAACACCAATCTAAGGGTTTCATATTGACGCAATGGGTTACACCCTTGTGCCGCCAGGACTGAAGACTGACAGGTCAGAGGTTCAAATCCGGGGAGAGCATGGATGAACTCCCTCTGTCAGCTCCAGCTTCCCATGCAGGGACACGAGAGAAGCCTCCCTCTTCCTTCTCTATCTCTTTCCTTCCTTCCTTCGCTTTTTGCTTTCATCCTTCCTTCTCTCTTTCCTTCCCTCCCTCTTTCTCTCCTTCCCTCCTTCCTTCACTCCCTCCTTCCTTCCCTTTTTTCCCCCTTCTCTCCTTCCTTCCTTCTCTACCTCTTTTCTTCCTTTCTTTCTTTCTTTCTTTCTTTCTTTCTCTCCTTTCTTCCTTCTCTACCTCTTTCCTTCCTTCCTTTGCTCTTTGCTTCCATCCTTCCTTCTCTTTCCTTCTTTTCTTCCCTCCCTCTTTCCCTCCTTCCTTTGCTCCCTCTTTCCTTCCCTTTTTTTCTTTCCTTCTCTCCTTCCTTTCTTCTCTACCTCTTTCCTTCCTTCCCCTTTTTTCTTTTCCTTCTTCTCTCCTTTCTTCCTTCTCTACCTCTTTCCTTCCTTCCTTTGCTCTTTGCTTCCATTCTTCCTTCTCTTTCCCTCCCTCTTTCTCTCCTTCTTTCACTCCCTCTTTCCTTCCTTCCCTTTTTTCTTTCTTCTCTTCTTTCTTCCTTCTCTACCTTATTCCTTCCTTCCTTTTTCTTTCCTTCTCTCCTTCCTTCCTTCTCTCTTTCCTTCCTTCCCTCCTTTTTCTTTTCCTTCTCCTCTCCTTTCCTCCTTCTCTACCTCTTTCCTTACTTCCTTTGCTCTTTGTTTCCATTCTTCCTTCTTTCCTTTCTTTCCCTCTCTTCTCTCCTCTTTCCTCCTTCCTTGCTCCCTCTTTCCTTCCCTTTTTTTCTTTCCTTCTCTCCTTCTTCCTTCCTTCACCTCTTTCCTTTCTTCCCCCTTTTTCTTTTTCCTTCTTCTTCTCTCCTTCCTTCCTTCCTTCCTTCCTTTCTTCCTTCCTTCCTTCCTTTTTTTCCTTCTTTCCTTCCCTCCTCTTTCCTCCCTTCTTCTCTCCTTCCTTCCTTCCTCCTCCTCTTCCTTCCCTTTTTTCTTTATCTTAGTTTTCGTCATTTAGCTTTTTGAGTTTTTAAGGCCTTTCCACTGGTTTTTTTTTTTTTGGGGGGGGGAGTTATGAGTCATGGTCACTTGTTGGTCTGTTAGGAGTATATTGTCCAAATTTCATGTCGATTCATCCAGTGATTTTTGAGTTATGTTAATCCCAGAAATGAACATTACATTTTTATTTATATAGATTTTTATTTGATTGCTGTTTATTTGTTTCTGGCATTGAATGTTTGACATTTCTATTATATTTTGGAAACCACTCTGAATCACTTTGGGGAGAGAAGATGGGTTATAAATAAAGTATATTATTGTTGTTATAATAATAATAATAATAATAATAATAATAATAATAATAATAAAATGCCTTTCGGAATGTATTCTAAAAGAAATCTGTCCCTTTTTCTGCACTCTGCCTTACCTCTGAATATTAGTATAGGATTTTTGGCTGTTGTTTTAGGCTGCCAAGTTCACAGAGTGTAAAACACCAGCATTCCATCGCTGGCGAAGACAGAAGGAATCCTTTCAAAGAAACGTTGCGGGCAAAAAGAGGGGGATGATGGGGGACTGCACAGGAAATTGGAAAATCTTTCCCAGCTTTTCCTTTTTGGGGAGGCTACAAAATAATAACCATATGAGTGACACAAAAGAAAAGTACGTCCAAGCGGTGAAATGTTCTCGAATCTTTTCAAAACCTTGATCAATTAAAACAGCAAGAAAGAAATACAGTGGTCCCTCACTACTTCGCGGTTCGCTTTTCGCGGACTCGTTGTTTCGCGGTTTTTTCAATATGGACTTAAGAGCATTTGTCTATATGGAGAGGCTGACTCTGCGGATAAAGCCAGGGCCAAGGATTATGTAAACAACACGTTCAAGGGGGGTTATGTAGTATATAAGTGTGTGGGGAGGGTTTATAAAGACTTAAAATAGTGTATAACTACTAGGCATGTGCAATCCATGGTTCTAAAGTACTTACAAAACTAAAATTCTGATGGTGAAAACTAGGAGGTGCTGATGCTTTGCTTCTACGGTGTCGCTAAAGTTCTGGTGGTGAACATTTCAGAACTCTTACAAAACTTTCAAAATTTCATTATAATAATTCTGGTGGTGAAAACTAAGGGGCGCTGATGCTTTGCTTCTACAGTGTTGCTAAAGTTCTGGTGGTGAAAATTTCAGAACTCTAACAAAACTTTCAAAATTTCATTGTAATAATTCTGGTGGTGAAAACTAGGGGGCGCTGGTGCTTTGCTTCTACAGTGTTGCTAAAGTTCTGGTGGTGAAAATTTCAGAACATTAACAAAACTTTCAAAATTTCATTATTATTTCATTCTTGAAATTTTGAAAGTTTTGTAAGAGTTCTGAAATTTTCACCACCAGAATTTTAGCGACACTGTAGAAGCAAAGCACCAGCGTCTCCTAGTTTTCACCACCAGAATTTTAGTTTTTTAAGTGCTTTAGAACCATTTAGAACCGTGGATTGCACATGCCTGATAACTACTAAAATAATGTATAAATATTAAAATAAATAAATATAGCGTCCCTACTTTGCGGATTTTCACTTTTCACGGGTTGTCCTGGAACGTAATACTTGCGATAAGTGAGGGAACACTGTATATATATATATATATACACACACACATAAACACATGAAATGGGAAGGAAAGGAAAGCAAAAAACGAAAACTTCTAGCCATGTTTGCCAGAATTCATGCGGGGGCCAGAATAAATCATGCACAGGGAAAAGCGGGGCTGAGCAAAAAGCACATCATGGAGACTGACATCACACGGATCATGCAACATCACACCAGGATGCGAGGGTTGTGGGGTTTTTTTTGGGTGGGGGACGGCTGGCAGGGAAGGTGTCACACCCGCAGCACCCAGAAATGCCATGGTTCGGAACAGGAGCTCTCTTTGAGATGCATTTCAGCAAACGCAGAGGGATTTCTGACCTTTGCTACAAAACCACTTTCCCCCTCCAGGCCATTGCTTTTTCTCCTTTTCAACCCACCTTTCCTTGCTTCTCGAACATGTCAATGGCCGCTGATGCCTCTCACTTCCAAACTTGGTCTTGCACTACAGAGCTCACGCTGTTACAACCGGTCCAAGCTGACCAACTCCTTCAACCAGCCACTGCCCACGACTTGCACTTTTCCCCTTCAGTCCTGACCTTCCACCGGTCCTAAATCATCTTGTTCCCTTTCAACAAACATGCAAGAAGGTTGCAAAACAACTGTTGCAACAAAGCAGCCAGGCTTTGAAGCTGCAAGGCCATTCAATGCTAATCAAGCTGTCCAACTGCAACATTCACACTTGCCTCAAACAGACAGAGTTCTTTCTCCCACCTTGGATATTATTCCACAGATATATATATACATTCCATTAGCCTCATTTCCTCTATGTAGGTCCCCTCACTGATTGACTTTGCAGGTGCAAGGCTACTCAATGCTAATCAAGCTGGCCAACCTTAACATTCACACTTGTCTCCAATAGACAAAGTGTTTTTTCTCCCACACTGGATATTATTCCACAGATATATATACACTCCACTAGCCTAATTTCCTCTATGTAGATGCCCTCACTGATTGACTTTGCAGCGGAAAGGTTACTCAATGCTAATGAAGCTAGCTAATTGCAACCTCAGAAGTCTTTCTCCCACCCTGGACATTATTCCACACACACACACATATATATCCCACTTGACGAGCTTCCAACAGACCTAACAACTTCTGAGGATGCCTGCCACAGATGTGGGTGAAATGTCAGGAGAGAATGCTTCTGGAACAGGGCCAGACAGCCCGGAAAACTCACAGCAACCCGATGCTTGGGGTGTCGTTACATGTTAGAAATTCTGCCCTCCTAAACATCTAACTTTGCAGAGAAAGAGAGACACTGGTTATTGCTCAAGCCCAGAATGTACGTACAATATACACCCCAAAGGTTCTGGGTTCAATCCCTGACATCTTTAGATAGGGATGAGAAAGATGAAGAACTACATTTCTTGCCTCGTTTCATAAGCCGAGTTTAATGCTCTTCTCCTCTGCTGTGCAATTCCTCCTCCCTTGATGTGGCTCAGCGGCAAAAGTCCACACATCCATCCACACCCACACAGTTATTAGGAAGTAAAACGGGGGGGGGGGGGGGGGGGGGGGGGGGGATCCTCCTAGAGGGATTCATTTCCTGTGTAGTGAGTAGCTATGAGTAACGAGCTTTCGGGAATCGATTGTGTCCCACAGAACTGGGACTAAAATGACAATACTGAAGCTGACTAATTTGAGAAAGAAAAATCACAAGAAGGTGCAAGACGTTTAGGAAATGCGAATCTAATATGGAGGCCTAGGGATGCCCATTTTGACACTTTTTCAGGAATTTACTGAGCATGAAGTGTTGGAAATAGCAACTTTCTTCAAGCCTCCGCAAGTAATTTGTTTTGCATATGATTCTGTTTGCTTACTGTATTGAATAGGTATGTTTTGGTATGCA